AACGGTCAATAATTACCACCGATATCGCACAATGCACATGCTCCTGGAAGAATCATCAATCGCGCGGCAGCTGTGCGAGAGGCTCTGGCAGAACACTTTTCCGCCACAATGCGCCAGATTATTTATTTCGACAATCGCTGTTGCCGATACCCTTCCTCCCCACGATTACCGTCTCTTGAATTGACAAGCCACGAGTTCTATCAGCTGCATCTGCTAAGTGAGTTGAGCCTGTTCGTCGAAGAAACTACTGCAAGGCCTCTCCCTTGGAAGCTTGTCTTGATTGACTAGCTGGCATTGACTTGAATCCCCGTCGCGCAGCTTGCCGTGTCAAGATCCCGAACGCGCTGGACCCTCTCTCCAATTTCGACCCCGCGTTCGTCATCAGCCCCGCCCCGAGCTTCCCACGGCACCCGAAGTCACCTTGACAGAATACCTCACCTGCCGACTCCCCCCGGCCGTTTGTCTTTGCTCCTTTGCAAAACTTTCCAGACTTGTCAGTATATCTACACCAAAGGCCAATTGAGTCGAAACGTCACCATGGCTCCCCCGGGAATGCTCTACGTTACTATGCAGCCGAAGCCTGAACTGGCTATCGAGCAGTTCCACGAGTGGTACAACAACGAGCACGGCCCAACCCGCCTACGTCTCCCCCAAATCTTCACCAACGGGCTGCGCTACCAAGCCAACGACGGCAAGGAGCCGACCTACCTGGCCTCCTACGATGTGACGGATATGTCCCACCTCGAGACACCCACGTACACCACACTACGCGCAAACAGATCTGCCCGTGAGGCCGAGACCATTGGACAGGTGGCCGTCACCAGATATTTCTTCGACTTGGTCATTGAGCAAAAGGCCCCTTTATTCATCCCCATTGAGCAGCTTTCTGACGAGGAAGCCGAGGGCATCGAGCTCGTCGCCATTGAGACCACTCTGAAGGACGAGTCCGACGAGGCCGAGTTCAAGAAGTGGTACGAGGAGGAACACATCCCAATGCTGTCCAAGGTTCCGGGCTGGCTGAGGACCCGTCTCTTCAAGATATCCTCTGTCGGCGATGGCGTCGGCAGCAAGACTACCTTCTTCGTACTACACGACTACGCCCGTACAAATGGCTTGGGCGGTCCGGAACACAAAGCTTCCACGGCCACCCCTTGGGCGGCGGAGATGGTGAAGAAAGTCGCAGGCATGAACCGCCGCACCTACTCTCTCTTTTACGTCTTTGGTCCCGCATCTCGCGACCTAGAGAATCTGGCGAAGCTGCCGGCCTCGGCCTCCACTTTCACGGCTCCGGATGGCAAGACTACGACTGTCCCCGGGAAGGACGAAGCGATCGACTCCTACATCACGGCCGAGGACCAACTTTCGATACCTTACAAGCTGGAAGGCAACACCTCTTCAAAGGCACCTACCGTAGCATTCTGCAATTCTTTGTTGACGTCTCTGCACATGTGGGACCCAGTCGTCAAGATCTTGAAGGAACAGCGCCCCGACTTGCGCATTCTGCGGTACGACACACGAGGCCGACACGCGATCCCGGGCCCGCCTGTGCCGGCAACGCTTGACTTGCTTGCTTCTGACCTGCGCACCGTTCTTGACGCACTTCGCATCCCCAAGCTGCACGCTCTTATCGGAGTGTCGATGGGAGGCGCAACAACAACCAACTTTGCGCTCAAGTATCCCAACAGGCTGAAGAAGTTCATTGCCTGCGATTTCAACGTGACCTCAAGTGCCGCCAACACCCAGGCCTGGAAAGATCGCATCGCGGTTGCGGAGGATAACAGCGGAGCCGGAATCGCAAAGCTGGCCGAGCAAACGGTAGGTCGGTGGTTCCATCCGGCAACGATGGAGAAGGAGAGCCTCGTGAAAGGCATGACGGAAATGGTGGCAACCAACAACGTAGAAGGCTTCAGATATAGCTGCCAAGCGCTATGGGATTATGACTTGAAGCCGGCGCTTGGATCCTGCCAAGTTCCCGGCTTGCTGGTTGTGGGTGATGGTGACGGCAAAGGTGCGCTAGTGAAGGCAATGGAGGGTTTCAAGGGTTCGTTGGGCGACCACGGCGCCGAGTTGAAGATTGTGCCAAACGCCGGCCATCTTCCCATGTGGGAGAGCCCTGCCGCGTTCTGGGAAGCCATCCAGGCATTTTTGTAAAACAGTTCCCTTCAAGAAAGTTTTCTCATCGAACGCAACAAAAAGCTTGGCTAAGAATGATTCAATTGAGAGTTTCGCCACAAACAACGTTGCTGACATACTCGGCCGGGGTTTAGAATGGAGAGGGGCACGAGGGGCCCATTACCGCGATCGATCTGCCGTGAGACACCGGCTGCTCATACCCAACAGAGATGTCCCCTGCACTCAGCCTGGGCAACTTGCAGCTTGCGGGTGCTAGTGTTCACCGCTGTTGTCGTCATATCGAGCAGAAGTTCTGATATGCAGCGATCCTCGAGAGTGCTGTCAGGGGAGGGGGCTTGACGACCATCAAAGTCTATCTCAAACAAACACTAACCCAATCAAGTTGAGGCTGGGATCACGATTCGTGGCGCTGCGACCGTTTGGCGACCAGCCCTGTCGGATACACAGGAATCACGCGCCGCAACGCCGTCTCGGCGCGACGCTGTGAACTGCAGCTCATGAATCACGCCAACATAGGGGGGAAGAGGGCAGGACTTGACGGTCGCATGCAAGTACGAAGTTCAGCGGTTGTGGAATGCGTCAAAGCATCTTGAAAGGCTCTAAGTTGAGCGAGACACTGAGAGGGTCTCTTGAGGCTACAACCGCTAGACTCCCGAGTGCTCCAGCCTTTGGTCGGCGAGTCGCTTGACGGTTGACAAGTTGACAAACCTGCTGACAGTCGCTGACAGGTATGCGGGCGCCGTTTCATCGAAAGTGCCCACGGACAGAGGGGATGGAAAGAATCAGACTGATGATTGACCGATCAGTCAACGAACCCGTAGAACGAGACGGAATCGCCCATGACCACCCTAGTGTCTCGGCGCATTAAAGAAGAAACGGTCTGGCGGCAGTTGTCTTGGCGAGTTCATCTCGACTACACAGATCGACGCATGGAAATGCCCGAAACGAGATTCACTCACAATGCGACGGGCCAGCATGGCTCAGTAGCGCGCCATGCTGGATCCATATTCCATGGTGAAAGGGGGCAGACGGCGGGAAGTAGAACCTAACAAGGCAAGGCAAAGAAAATTCAATGGGAAGAGAAAAAAACGTGGGCGCGCCAGAATTGTGGATCAATGCTCAGGGGAATATGGCGCCAGGAACCACACCTTAATTATTCGACCATACGGAGAAGTGCGAGACCGAGGCACTTGCACAACTCACCTCTTGAGATTTTGCTAATAGAGTTGCAGAGAGTGAGGTCAGACCGAGAGACCGCAGTCTAGTGATAGGGCAGAGACTAACGAGAGAGTCTGCATCACCGGCGAGCATCCGCACCCGAACTACGTCTTATGGTTGTCTTTGAGACTCACCAGACAAGAATGGGGCTACGGGGATATGCATATATTCTTTGGCGAAGATGGGGCGTATCCGAACAGTCGTCACCATCAGCCCTTGAGGACTCATCATCTTCGGCTCCGAACCACTTGGACTGGACATTCACGAACCACGCTATCTTCGAGAAGCTCATGCTGTCAGCCAGACAAGCAGCTGCCAGTCAGACAAGGCAAGACAAGGCACGCACTGGCCTCGGGTGGAGAGTGTGGTGGCATTTAGGTAACGCGCATCCGATCCTCCTATGATTTACCTTCCCATATTAAGGGCGGCAGGAGGGTCTGTTTCAAGCCCAGCGCTACGTCTGAGATTCCGGTGCGCCCGTGCTGCGCCGTATCTGTACAGTTCCCGCCGGTCACCCTCTCAACGCGGCAACTTGGCCCATGACTAAGGTCGATGGAGTCTTCTCACTCGGGACAAGCCTGGCAAATTCTGGCAACTCGCTTGCGTGCTTTCACTACCTCTCAGGCTTCCAGGTACCGTGGCCAGGGAGGATCACTGACTTCCCATGCTTGTCGGGGGGCTGGTCCATGGCTATCTCGGGATCCCCTGCGTCTCCCACACAGGTCGTTTCCGGGCGAAAGAGTCGTACTCGCCAGGGCTTCGGTGGTGATGAGTAAACTATTGGGACTGGGCATTGGGTCTGCAATCAATACTATGTATGGCCTAAGCAGCATACCTAGGTGACTCCATCGTGACCGTCACCTTCCTTGCGCCGCACTACCCCAGCCATGATCCCAGCTTGAGCCCCTGGGCCAGATCATGGTCCTCAAGGCTTGGAGTATTGATCCTTCCAGAGAACGGCAGAGCGCCCAGACAACCAACGGCAGACGTTACGAAACTGAGCGCCTACGCCGCTTAGTGGAACGGTCCATCTCATCTTTCCTAGACCGGTATCCCTTCCAAATCGGAGCACATCCGGCTGCTGTGACGCTGTGTTGGTCTCCCCCCCGGCCTCGACGGGTGCCACCCCCCCAAAATTCCACCACTCTGGTTTGCATATTGGTGTTTCGGTCTTATGAAGTTTCTGCCATCTCCACCTGGCCCTTCTCCCAGTCTTTCTACCTCACCAGGGTTGAGGGGCGGCTCAGCTATCAGGCGCTTGCGAGGACTATCTTGGCAGCCAACTGACCAGGTTGGGAACTGGAAAGAGTCTGAGAGACGAAAGGGGGTTGCTTGCTTGGCATCTTTCACAAGAGTCTTCCGGTGGGATAAATAACACGACGATGTCCTCGCTGTTTGGAGTTAGGTTTTCTCTTAGTTCTTCATCCAACATTGCAGGTCGCACACATTCTTTGGTTCTTTCACCACTTCATTCTTTTTCCAACCGTCAACCGTCAGTTCTTCACTGTGTGAAGCTGGGACATTCTTTTGCAAAACTCTTACATCCAACGAATTCAAGCTCATTCATTCTCTTCCCAAACCACCCTTCTTTCTTCAAGAACATCTCAAACCCGACCTTTTCAAAAATGTCTTCCGTCAAGTCCACCATCGCCCTCGTTGGCGCCTTCGCCGCTAGCGCTCTTGCCCACGGCACCGTCACTGGCTTCAAGTTCGACGGCGCCTATGAGGCCGGCTACAAGCTCGACTACTACTACCTCAAGCAGAACGGTGGCACTCCCCCCTCCATCTCTGCCTGGTCCGCCGAGAACCTCGACAACGGCTTCGTTGACGGCACCGGCTACGCCACCGCCGACATCAACTGCCACAAGAACGGTGCCCCTGGCTCCGTCGCCTCCACCGTCGCTGCCGGCGGCACCGTCGACTTCGAGTGGTCCGCCTGGCCTGAGTCTCACTTCGGTCCCGTCCTCACCTACGCCGCAAAGGTCGACGGTGACGACTGGGCTTCCGTCGACAAGACCACCCTCAAGTGGGTCAAGATTGACGAGTCCGGCATCGATATCGCCACCCAGGAGTGGGCTGCCACCAAGCTCATTGCCAACAACAACACCTGGTCCACCACCATCCCCTCCGACCTCGCTGCCGGCAACTACGTTCTCCGTCACGAGATCATTGCCATGCACGGCGCTGGCTCCCTGAACGGCGCCCAGAACTACCCCCAGTGCGTCAACGTCAAGATCACTGGCTCCGGCACCGCCAACCCCGAGGGAACCCTCGGCACTGAACTGTACAAGAACACCGACGCCGGTATCCAGTTCAACCCCTACGCCACCATCTCCAGCTACACCATCCCCGGCCCTGCCCTGTACGGCTCCGGTTCCGGTTCCGGCTCTGGCTCTGGCTCTGGCTCCGGCTCCAACAGCACCACCCCCGCCACCCCCTCTGCTCCCTCCACCACCGCTCCCTCTGCCACCCCCGCGGTCTCCGGCGCTGCTGACGAGGCCTGCGCCAAGAAGGCTCGCCGCCACGCTCGCTCTTTCCGCCTTCGCCACTAAGCGTTGGTAGAGAGCAGTGTGTGCAGATGAAAAACAGGAGGAAAGAAAACCCAAGGCTTTTTTCCACTGGGAAGAAGGTCTTTTGAATGAGCACATTGATTCGTTTCTCAAACCATGTAAATAGATTTATACCCGGTGTATATATCGCTGCAAGCACAACACCTTTTTCAGTCGACCACCACCACGGGCGTCTAGCGCACCTTTTTTGCAGCTGGGCGTCTTTCAAGCTTTGCAATGTATATCTGTTCAAACAATCTTCTCTTTGCCTGACTTCTGAAAAGTGACTGCAAACTGTTATGAAAAGTCTTGGTCTTGGCTCACGGCGTTACCAGCCACTGCTTAGGCTTTGCGGGTGGCATCTGATATATGGGGCCGCAGCTTGTTGACGACAGTGTAGGAGACAGCGGGCTGAGTCGTAGCCCGCGGCCGATATTTGACGCTCGAAGACGCAGAACTTGCGTACCGCTTGACCAGGCTCAGTGCCCTGGACCGTGTATGAGCGTCCATCCGTGCCCGCTGCTCGTAGGCGAGAGTTCATCGAACGATCGAGACTGGAAAGCAGACCGCTGTGCCGTAGACTGTGTGGATGAACGTCACAAATATATGAAAATGTGGGGGTCCAGTGGAAGAGAGATTGAAAAAGGGGGAGGGGACGGAAACGTGAACACGATCCGCTTTTGACTGGTGTGAGCCGTGACTGGACTGGTACCCGAAGGCTTGCCCCTACAAGCCCGTCAACTGATAAGAAAGCCGTGGGCCATGGGCCATGGCACGAGAAGAGTGCCAAGACACGGTCGGAGGGGAGGCTGCTCCAACTATATATACCGATTCTGCGTGGGTACCGCGGAAGTGTGGTGGAGTGAGGCGACGTGAGCAGATTTGAGGTCGAATGAGTGCGCAAACGGGAGCAATCTGCCGCGCGGATGTACCATGCCGATTGAGCTACCAGTATTGACGTGGACGCCGGTGGGAGTCTTTGCCGAAGAACCGGCTGTCTGCAATGTTGGGCTGGATGAATTGGCAGAGAATAGTCGGAGGGCGATGCCGACTGAACTGGATCGATGCGCCGTTGTGGGCCCCAGTGGTGGGGGGAAAGCACTTTTGCATCCATGAGATACTTGACGTCGGTGTAGCAGTGGGCATCAAAATGCCGGTCTGACGAGATTCGGAGTCCCGTACTGATGGACGAGGTGACATTATACCTCTTGAGGGACAGCCTAACAAGTGCTCGCCGTTCCTTACTTCGAAGACACGGGCTGGACGCCACACCTTTTATTGTCTTGGAACTATGTCACGACCGTCAAAGGCCATTGCATGCGTTCAATGTCATTCTTGGGCTGAATAGACAGTGGTGTGGAAGCTTGGTCCTTGGATCTGAGCTCATGGAAACGACCAGATCGAGTAGGGGAGATGGTTCGAGAAGATGCGACGGCTACCGGCGATGATAGTATCGATTGTGGAACACCCAAGAGCCAGTCAGCTCTTGTCCATCAGACCTTAAAGATGGGCATCTCCTCTCGAAAAGGCGCCAAACTAGGTTCCTTCCATCAGCTGGATTGGGTCTCAGGCGATTGACTCTATTTTCTTTTTTTGGTGTATGTAGACGAATATCTTCTCAAAGACCGCGATGGGTTGTAGATAGTAGCTGACAATGGTAAGGGCCACTGGCTGGTAGCGAACAGTAGTGACGAGTACGGTGGTGTGAGAACCAAGCGCCGAAGATGCTCTGCCTCGGACGAGCAGCAGTGGATCCAAAGTTCCAAATTTGGAGCATGAGCTGTCCCATGACAGCGCTCTTTGGGCAGGCAAAGTCCCGGGCGCTTGTGAGACATCTTCCTGGTATGATAGAATGCTACTGCAACTGAAGTCTTGAAAGGCGATTAGTGTAAGTTCAGGCGCAGTAAGACTGCCTACGCTGCGGGTTGAGGATGGCGGGGCGAAGGGACAACGGCTGAGATGCGGTTTGTGAATGTGATTACTTGACAAGGAGTAATGGAGGTCGACGTTGGTCTTTGAAAGTTTGAAGAAAGCTCGACGCTGGATTGCTGGGTCCGCGACCTGATATCTGCCGGTCATGCGCTCCATCTCTTCGTCTGCTTGACCGAATCCTACACTACTCGTCAGGTCGGGGATAGTGTCTTCTAAGCGAAGGTCTAGGGACATATCTCAAGGGACATCATCCAGACGGTCACTCAGGAGAATTTCTGTTTCAGTGATGTCTCCAACGCCCTTTGATTCTATGTTCGTGCCCATTGAGCAGTCAAGGCCGCGCCCCGCGCCCCGCGCATCACGTGCAGCGTGCAGCGTGTAGCGTGTCTCGTTTCCGTCGCAATGGCGGGAATATCGGAGCTTTTGACGACGGCATCGCTCACAGGCGGATTGCTTTTGTATCGGGTGCGTCCGTCATGCCGTACTTATCGACGCGGCTGTATTGCAGTTATTATGGTATTGAAATCAATGCGATGGATAAGGAGACGTCGAAAGTCTCACAGTCTTGACTCGGTCGGATGCTTTTCGTCGTCTACTATCAAGTGTCCAGAGGCTTTCACGGCCAGCAAAGGGACGTACCTCACTGAGGGTGGGTCTTCGGTACGTATCGTGCTATGGGTCTAGAACGAGACAGGTCCGAGTCGGCTCCGAGTTTTGGTGACAGCTGGCCAGGTGCTACCTCAGGTCCCAAGTCTCACTACACTTGCTCCTGCTCACCTAATTCAACCTCTTCTTATTCAATAAGAGATTGTAAGACCTCCACTATTATCTTACTGTATCTCAATGTGATCATTGGATTAACAAGTAGCCTACCAACGCCATCAAAAATACGACAATTTCTGACTATGAATTATAAAAGGTCTGACATCAGGATTCTATATCCAGGGCAGGTAACTACCAGTCTTGGGGAGTTATGGTAAGGGCTGCAGACAGCCTGAAGGCGGAAAGGAGCGTTGAAGTGGCCAACTCTATGAGATGGATACCCTCCCTCACTGTTCTTTCCTTTAGCTGTTCTCAATTGTCCACAAAGGTATCGTAAATGTATACACCTCGATTTTTAAAAGACAGGCACACAAAATCCCTCTGCACCTTCTCCCTCACAATATTCGTTGCCCACCAAACTTGACCCTTCCTCTTGATTACCTCCAGGTGACTCGTCAGGGAGTTCTTCCTCCCACCTTCACCACCGCATCACCGCCGCTCCCTCTTCCCTTCACCTTCTTCGACATCTTACCTCCACTATCCCAAGTCAAGTCAGGAGCATCTCGCAAGCCTTTGCTTAGGTTGATTGCGTGAATCACCGTCAGTCATCACCAAATGGAGTGGCCTATCCCATTACCACCTTCTAAAAGGGCGTGCTTCCTCGCCTCTCTCCAGCCGAAAAGATTCTTCCACTCAACTCTCCTTCGGGAACAGCAGCATACTCACTAACTCTCCTTACGGAACGATCCACCATCGATAGTTTTCCATCAGTTTCTCAATCCGTTCGCTTTAGACATCAACAATCGAAAAAGCAGAAGGAAAATATGTCCGCTCATATGGCATCACCAGTCAAGTTTGATATTCCGGCTTCCGCTCGTTCATTCACCTACTTTTCGCATTTGCCGCCCGAAATCCGAGAGCAAATATGGGAGGATGCCATCTTCGAACCTGGCATGCATTTCCTACGTTTGAGGACTGCGGCTCGAATCATTCATTTTCCCTCACCGATGCCGCCAGGATCATTCGATGACCAAGATCCAAAGAACGAAGACGATGTCCTTCTCGACTTTGCACGAGAGGTGGTACCTAAGAGGGTCTGGCCCGCCATCCTAGAGCCCCGATACCCGATACCCCAAGCCAACATCTCCAACTACGTCTCCGTCAATCACGTCCTCAACAAGTTGTCGGCTACTTGCTTCGAGGCAGCCAAAGTCGTTCGTCGTCTAACCAATGCACCTGGTGGCTTGAAGCTAAAGGACGGTTGCGTCGTCTCGCTCGGCGGCTCCTCTGACGTGGTCTGCCTCGAGTACTTGTCCGCCGACGATTTTCGAAGCTGGTGTCGCATGTCTCAATCAATCAGATGCAATGAACTTGCTAATATCCGCCACGTCGCCATCCCTTACTGCCACGCGTGGGAAACCAGTGTCAGCGGTTTTCGGTGCGGCCACTGCGGCACCCGTTACTCTGGCCATGCGACCAAGGTCTACCCTGTCCACCTCTACGAATTTCTTGCCCAGTGTTTGCCGAACCTAGAGACATTTTACTTCATTGACTATCTTATAGTCGAGAAGAACGCGAGCCTCAAATGGCCAGAGAACGCCCCGGATCAAGCCACTGCCCCGCCGTCAGATATTGAACCCCAAGAGTCTACTACCCTTGAGCCGTCTAAGAAGCGTAAGAATGCTCCTTTGATTAAGGGTGGAAGATACACTGACTTGAGCTTTGGCTAGGTACAAAGGAAGATGCTGCTAACGGTCGATTATCGCCGAACAAAGTGGCTGACTTGTTCGAGACATTGGAAGTGACCAACAACACAAAGCGAGAGACCGAATCCTCAAGCACAGATCCGACGGCGAAGATTGCACGACAGGGTTTCAAATGTGAAGGCAGAGTCTTTTATGAACCAAACGATCACTGGGATGTCAAGTCTAGAGTAGTCGACACCATATCCTGGCTACAGGAGAGGTTCATTCTCTACGCCACCCAAAGCAAGAACAGCAAGCATACACACCCCAGGAGGGTCCAATTCAAGGTTCTGGCATGCAAATGGAATGAGAGGGAATCTGATCCACAGTCGAAGCTGAAAAGAGCTTCACTTTCTGCCAAAAAAGCCTCGGCAAAGAAGCCGCGATCACAATGCTGCTCCAAGCAAGATGTGCCATCGGTTCAGGATCACAAGGCCCCTTTGGCTTCCCCATCGTCGCCATCACTTTCCATCCCTGACGACGGTTTCGATTACGTTTTTGGAAGAGAAGATGGGTGTAACTTTGGCTTCAGCCAAGCCTCTGGATTGTAATGGACTGGCTACCGCCAACTCTGGGTTTGGCGCGATGCGGGTTGGAAAAGTTCAAGGGCGGAGTCTAAAGGGGAGGATGAGACCTTTCTCGGCCCAACATCCATGGCGACAGCGAGGAACAAACCTCGCGATTCTGGCGTTTCTCAAGCTTGGAGTGTGACCTGTGTCCATGTTGCCGATGGCGACGACGAGCTGCATGGCACTGAGGGTGTACGTAATCCTAGAAAGACCCCTTAATATTAACGATAGCATACCACGGACCCCCTATGTTTTGAACACATTCGTTGATGAGAAAACAAATCGTGGCACGGAGGAACCAGATAGCGCAAATGAATCTCGGGGGGTATGGAGACCTATCCGGTAGCCTCGTATGTGTTATGGGTTCGCATAATCGATAGGCATTTTGTCTGGGCGAGCAACCCGACGGTCAGACCAACTGCGACGGTGATGTCATTGCCGGTTTCCTCCCTAGACTTGAGCTGACCTTGAGCATAGGGGATACTCTGTCAGGCTTCCGTTGCCTCACCCGAGCGCATCCGGTTCAAGCCATTTTGAAGAAGATATCGTACGAGGGGCGTCAAGTCAGATGCCAATTCCGAGGGAAGCCTACTCGGATTGGGACGTCCGTTGTTGACGATCTCCGCGCTCCCTTGCCGGCCCTTGGTGGGGGTACAGCGTGGGCAGCGATCTCTGCAGTTTTGGGACCACCCAGTACCTAGCTTCTGGACCCCTGGCGGCAACCAGTCAGGGTCCAACTGTCCAAGAGGGGTATGGTGGGCGGAAATGGCAGACGAACCACCGAGGGATGGGCAATTTTCGACTTTCCGGTTCTTGACGAGGGAGATGTGTGTTTGCCAGTGACTCCTTTAGGCACCCTTCTTCGTGGCACCGCGACAATCTGCTTTTCTTCCTACGTCAGCAATCTTTCTCAGGTCATGACAGCCTGGGCAATAGAAGCAACGCAAGTCGAACAATTGCGCAGCTCAGAGCGACATCATCACAGTCCGAGAATCATCATCGAGCCGCACACGTCATTGATACCCTAGCTAGTCTAGACCTTTGGAGAAGGGGCCTCGAACTGCGAAGAGTGTTTGCTGCGGACTGGACCCTCTCGCCTGGTGTCCACTGATGCTGGGGTGGTGGCTGTTGAAAATTGAGCGCAGGAATGCGAAGGGCTAGACTCTTTTCTCGAGCAACAGAACCCCCTCCCCTGGTTCCTCATCGGATGCCTCTCCGACGCCCCGTTGTTTAGTCTTGGGGATTGACGTCACATGCAGCTACGGCAGCGCACATCTTGGCTGCAGAGTCTGGACTCGAGTCTTTCTCACTTCGTGTTTCCATCGAATGAGGATTGGCTACGAGAACGAGGTTGTGTGTCGGGGTACAGAGATGCAACGATGCAACGGCTCATGGCATTGTCAGTTTTTCCATCCCCGGCGATGCGGGTTCATGACATCCAAAGGCCTGGACCCTCTGTTCTCTGGGTGTTCTAGACCCTGAATGTACGTACCTGCTTTCTGCGGATCGCTGTCACATTTCCAGGGTTTGTGAAGCAAGTGATCTCGTGGTCTCCCATCCTCACGTAAACCTACCCTATGATTTGCCTTACCGGACGGAGCCAATATGGGTTTCTCGTGTGGCGATGGTCGTCCGCGAACCGCTGACTTTGATGATACTGATCGTTATTAAAAGCATGGAGGGTGCCAGGGTGGATAGCTCGGAACGCGCCATCACGTCACTGTCCAGATGGCGTTTCCCGCCATTCTGGCACCCACGTTGCGGGACCTCACACAGTTGTTGCTTGATGGTGCGGTTTGCGGGGGGCGTTTTCTCATTTAGCGTAAGGCTGCCTCCGCGGAGAGAGGTTGCTGGATGGTCTATCAATACTTTACAGCCAGATCTGTTCTCTCCCCTGCCAGTGAATCAATTTGACCTGATGCTCTTAAATATTCCGTATGCCCCCGATGCCCCGATGGACCGATCGGTGCGATTACCCTCATCTGTGGCCATCGTGCTTTCACTGCAGCCATCATTGTCGATACCTCTTGCATTATTCTGACCTTGGCTTGACTCTGCTTTCATCCGTCTACCTACTGGTGATACTGATGAGCTCGGGGCCCCCAACTCTCCCAGTGCTGAAGACCCACCAGCGTCCGGCAGCTGAATGGCATCGGACAGCTTTCGGCCCCACCCGCCCATTCAGGTGCATCCGCGTCACACAGCTTTCCGACTTTAGCATAGGTACTAGAGACCTACACATTAGCCCGGAATTCTTCTCTTGCCGCAATAATGCCACCCTCGTCCACTGGCGCAGTATGCAACTTCGGCCACAAGTGAGTATACTAATCGAGCTGTTCCAGTCTCACCGCTATCGTTTGCGCTGCAACTCCGGAGTCCCTCAAGCTAACCTACCGGCGTTCTTGCCTTCCAGAACCCCCGACGCATTACCGATAGCCCCACCATCCGTCCCGACCACAGCCCCGGCCGCGGCCCCGCCGGCAGAGCGACCCATAATTCCCGTATCGTCGGATTCTGCATACTCCATTAACCGATACGTCGATACTCCGACGCCTTCAGACCGCCAGATCCGGGCCCCGCTGTTCAGCAGTCCGTTACCATCACCGTCGTCGGAAGAAGCAGAGCGTGCTGGGAGCGTTCGCATGGAGGCGTTGTTAAAGGAAATCTTCCCTAACCGGTCGGATTGACGGATAGTGAGGTTGATACGTGTAGTTATCTCATCGTGCCCATCCCCGAATAGAATGCACTCTGCTTTTTGTCAGACACTTCGTGACTTGTTCCTATCGTGCATCCAATGACCACCCAACTATCTATCTCGACTACCTCGCCTTATGTGTAAGCATGCATCCATCGTCTCATACAATCCAACTCAAGTTTTCGGCCGATAGTGTATTTGTTTGCCAAGACTCATCCTGCGCTTCTGGCGTTGGCGGCAAAATCATTTTGTGAACTGGGGCAACACAGCCAAGTGCGAATCTGCGACGTACGCTTGACCGGACCTCACCACAATTTGTGTCGCCGAGGATGCGCCAGCGCGGAAAACGAAGGAGAAAAAACCATTCGCCTTGACAGCCCTCGACAATACCGACGGATTTTGGACATGTGATGCCTGCCGTATTCTGCTGGCTCTTTGTCCCCGCACAGACGACCTTGACATGTTTCGCCGCCGTGTAATCTCAGTGCAGACCGAGCCACAGTCGTCGTCCTCGTTGTCCTTGGGAGGATCGTCTTGGATTGCACCGTGAGACGAAGGGCACGGGCCGCTAGTTCCTGGTAGTTCTTTTCTCTGGCTTCCTGCAGAAATATCGACCAGGTTGGCTAGGTCGGAAGTTTTTTGGGGGATTTTTTCTTCATCTCTACTATTTGTGTGATTCATGAAATGCATTTGATGCATAGAGTGGCACCGTGCGTGGGAATTCTCCAGTCCGAAGGCGAAATGTCGAATGAGGAGCCAGTCTGGCAGTCATCAAAAACACCTCCCGCCGAGTAATTATTCGGATATCTCAGATGTTTCTCGGCTTAAGTCAGCCATGTCGCCCCCTCCATCTTCAAAACCGGGGTGCAGCGTGCAGCTAAATGTTTGGATCAATTCGACGTAAACTCACAACTCCTGTTTGGGGCTTTTCCATGCCCCCAAAGATGCAGACCATCCGCCACGATGCAGGTTGGCTCCGCCACAACCCCAGCAGCTTTGGTGATACATCTGTGACGTTTACTGCAAAGAACCAGTCACCTGGGTATGTTCTCATACGAGGCAAGGGACTTGAGATGGATGGGAGCTTGGGGCAGTGGGATGGCCCGTAGATCCGTGAGTTGTGGGACCTTGGACGAACTCGCCATCTCGATGGGTCATATTTGGAGCCTTTGACTGACCTGAGCTCTGGTTGGGTTTACGGCATGAACACCTTTGCCGAGAAAGCGCAACTCTGCTCAAGTGGGCGACGAACGACAACAGGCGGAGTGATTCATGCCGAGATCTTTCATCTGCTGGACCCTCAAGTTCCAAATAACCACCTACACTGCTTGATGATTCGCTGCTGGGTGAGGCGAACTTAGTTCAAATATCACCGAGCATTGTGTCTTAATGGTCGCCTTCTCGAGGCTTGACAAACTGCTTTGTTCGAACTTCGGGCTAGAATCCGAATGGAACGGGTTTGATTGAGAGGCGTTTGTTAGTGTCTAATTTCAACGGGCACTAGAAGTTAATAATTGCCCAGGCGACGATCCACGGAAACCTTGTGTTGCCCTGGCACTGGATCGAGCCGTCGGTGGTGTTGTGTGGCGACAACGGTCCAGGCTAAACGACTCGGACTTAAGCCGAGGGTTGGTCTTCGGCATGGGGAAGATGCCAAGATGGCAATATCTCAATCTCCTTGATACGAAACTCTTTGATCCAGCCCAGGCTCTCGGAGATGATATTTCCTCCATGTACAGCTTTCGCGACTCAGACTCAAAAGTAAGTCAAGGGCAGGAAAAACCACTCCGGAGCGAATGCACGGACAACCTTTGTTTCTCTAGTCTCCCCGCGGATCTCTCTCCTTACCGAGCTACGTTAGTCGACTCTATTCATACGTGTGTGGGTCTCTCGAATGTCTGGTTTCTCAACGGCTGCCCCAGAGCTAGACAACAACCCAACTTGAACCGGTTAGCCGGCACTTCGGTATGACACCGCCCCCAGGCACCAAGTCGAAGCGAGAGGACTCCCACTTTCAACGGATAACTTGGGGAAGTGCAGGGCAGACCTGGGCCAAGTCCACTCGTTAGCTCAAGGGCACGGCCCGGTGCTACGGCCGGACGTGAAACGCGACAGCTCGACGACGGGGAGATCGTCGGGACAATGGAGGAGGACTGAGAGCGCCGTGCGGATGTCCTGGTCAGCCCAGATTCTCGCTGACAATACTTTCTTGGACGAGGAAAGCAATAAAGGTTGTGGCAACTGGAGAAACTGCACTTGGCAGCGTAATGCCTAGGAGAAATATTCCTCATTACTCGCCTCCGGGGTACCTTGAGCTGTCAGCTGGACCGCAAAGTCATGTCTGATGTTTCCAAGTCACGGCTGTGTATGATTAGCCTCTCGTAACTTTGGGGGCAAGAACAAGTTCGTTCTCTGGTAGGTGCAGGGGGTGGCACTGGTTGCGGCCAAGATCACTCCGAGCATTGAGCACGCTTCTTCCCGCTGCCAAGAGAAGTCCTTCCCAACCCCTCGTCCTGTCGACCCTGCTTTTGGGAAGGATTCCAAAATGGCCCTCAAGCCTAGCGAATATCGTAGGGACCGAACCGTCGGTTCCCGCCGCATCTTCTTACGAGCCGCTTAACGGATGGACTGCCAGGGGGATCAAACGAACGCCGCAATCACCAAGTGCCCTCTTTGCAAAGACCCGTGCCTTGCATCAAATTCTCCCTGCATCATGTCTTCCCGCATCCGCTACGCTTGGAAGAGGGCTCCATCATGTTAGCCAGGTCCATCCGTACGCTCTACACAGATAGAGTACTGGGGCGCACTAACAAACTAAGGTTTGACCGGAGGCACTAGTACACGCCGTTCACGTGGGGAGGAACGGCGGCAGACATTCACACGGGTGACAGGCAAAAAAGGCGTTTCACGATGTTATGCTTCGACAGATGTTTGTCCAAAGATGCATGGCTCTTGGACCACGTCACCCTGCTCTGAGCCGGGTCATGCCCAGAGTCAGCGAGTACCTCAGGGCTGCTTGAGGGCGTACCTAACCAGCCTGCTCAATCAGTCCAGAATACCGATAGCGTCACTCAGTCTCGGTCTGGTCTGAGGCTTGGACTGCTCGGGGCTCTGAGATGCAGCTTGGCATTGCACACCACAGCCCGCCTCGTGGTTGATGGTTGCTCTTACCCATCAGTGCCACTCTCTTTTCTTTGTCATGGCACAGCAGAGATGACTGTTTCGACGCCCAGGAGCTCCAGCCTGGGTGCTTGCCGAAGCGGATCTCCGGGCAAAACAGGAGGGTTCACGCAGCCCAATGAGCCCATGAACGCTTGACCCCCAGAACATAAATATCCTATCACGAACCCGTCTGGTAGTCGTTTTCTTTTCTCATCAGATCACTCTCACACAACAGCTTCACTTCGCCTTTCGACAGCTAGTCTCTCGCACCCTTTTTCGACTCTTACATCTTTCGCAGCCTCGGCTTCATTCGCTCTTCAGCATCTTCTCAACCTTTTCTAACCAACCAACTACCCTCAACAACCATCAAAATGCACGCCAAGGCCGTTGCTCTTTCTCTCGCCGCCGCGGCGGTTGTCCACGCTGATCTTCGTATCAACCAGAACGACATCCCACAGGACTGCTCTGCCATCTGCCGCCCCGTCCGTGACCTTGGCAACATCTGCACTGTCAACTTCGTCCCCGGTCAGGGCAACAACAACAGCGATCAGCTCCAGGATGAGCTCGACTCCCAGTGTGTCTGCACCAACAACTCTTTCGACTTGAAGAACTTGGCTGGCCAGTGCAATGCCTGCATGATCGAGAAGGTTCCCTCCGACCAGCAGCGCAGCCTTGAGGGTATGTTCATCCAGACTCATAACCCCTTTCTGAATCAGAGCTAATCTGTTATTTCACACAGGTATCCAGAGCATCATGAACGTCTGCCAGCTGCCCAGCGCCAGCGGCTACGCTTCCTCATCCACCTCTCTCGCCAACACCGTCATTGTCCTCGCCACCCGTTTGACTGCCAGCAGCCAGCTTACCACCACTTTCGGCGGCGGTGCCCAGACCACCGAGTCCTCCTCCAGCCGCACTCGTTCCAGCGAGCGCTCCACCATCACCACCACCTTCCTCACCTCCGGCAACGGTGGCCTTCCCTCCATCGCTACCTCCACCATCGTTGGCGGTGGCCGCCAGACTGGCAATGCTGCCCCCGGCCTCCACACCCCCGGCAGCAACGGCATGCTCGGCGCTGTCGGTGCCATCGTCGCCGGTGCCTTTGCTCTTGGTGCTTTCATGCTCTAAATGGCTGGATTCCACCGACCGGGTATGATCGAAACAAGTGTACGGATACGTCACGACAGGAGTTTGGAAAGAGGAGGATAATATGCATGGTAGTTCGTTATGTCTTGATGAAGTAACGGTTGTGTGCGAGACGGGGGAGTATCATGGTTTTTGCGTCACTCCTTTGGTCTTTTCTTGGGTTTGGCTGTATCGCGAATGAGATATCTATGTACTGCTTACAGGTTTTTGCAATTGACGATAGATGCTGCACTCAGAACACTGCTCCCAACCCACTGTGATTGTTTGCGCCCGATGCAATTTTGCCTGAATTAAAGCACTGTCTGGTACTGAACTGTTTCTAATCTTTTCCTTGTAGCTTGGATCCTGACGGCATTGTCACCTTGGAAGCCAGCTCTTCGCCAACCTTATGGAGGCCTTGCTGGGGAACGTGGGCTGGAAGAATTGTGTCCTGGAATTTCCGCATTGGGATCTTCAGATCAAAGAGCATATCCACCTCTTCGAGTGTGCGGCCCTTGCACTCTGGCACGCAGAGGTAGACAAACACAAGTGAGAGAAAGCTTATTGTGCCGAAGATCAGACCAACCTTGGACCCCAGGTTCGCGTACGGGGCGTTGAGCAAATATGGTAGCGTAAAAGCAACGGTGAATTGCATTGCAATATTGACGACGCTGGCCGTCCGATACGTAATGTCACGGAGACGCATGCTCGGAATCTCGGCAGAGAGGACATGCGATGTTGGTGCCCATCCGAGAGTGAATCCCGTAGTCATCACAATCATCATCGCGACAATAGATGACTTGACGGCGACGCTCGGATTGAACGTGAGTCCGAGAGCGCCCATGGCGAAGAGACCGGCCGTCTGAATCGACCCGCCGAAGAAAATGACGTTTCTAATGCCGATGATAAGTCAGCCAATCGGTGCAAGTAGCTGTTGCTTGAGGAGCATCATGCAAACTAAGGGCCTTACCTCCGTCCCAACTTATCCAATAGGACCATGGAGCAGAGACACATGACAATGTTGATGCTCGAGGTGATCATGGTGACAGTAAAAGGGTTGATGAACCCTAGCTGTTTGACGAAAATGGCGCCATAGACAGAAGCAAAGATTGACCCCGTAGCCTGTAGAAAGAAGTTGACACCAATGACTGACATGGTTCGTTTCGTCACTTGTTTACCCTTGAACATGTCCATGAAAGTACCCTTTTCGACCTCGTAATCAATACCAGCGTGAATTTGAGACATTTCTGTCGCGATTTGCCCATCAGTGAAGCTGCCTTGGCGGAGACGAGTGAGGGCTATCAGTGCTTCGTCATTGCGACCTTGCATCGCAAGCCAACGGGGAGACTTCCGTAAGACGTAGGATCAGTCTATTGCCGCGCTTGTGAAACCACGATCAGGCACTGCTGGGTACTTACCTCTGGGACAAACCAGATTCCGGCAATGACTATCACGGGTACGATGTAGAAGAGTCCATACGGTATCAGATAGGCCGCAGCCGAATTCAAGCTCCCGGTACCTCGGGCCACGGCGTTAACGACCAGACCCCCCGTCTGAAAGAAATTGTCAGCATAAATTTCGATACGTGAGAAAAGAATTCTTCAAGTTACTGCTAGGCTCAGCTGGTATGTGCCGACTACGAAACCACGAGCTCGCTGTGGGGTTATTTCAGACTGGTAGATGGGCACGACAGCGAGCTCCATGCCGATGTAGATGTAGGCCAATATTCTGGCAGCGAGAATCTGATCCCGGTTTCTGGACGTCATGATTATTGTCGTCGCCACACAGGACCAGATGCTCATCGAGAACATGCACATTCGCCGACCGTATCGTTTGCTGACTGCGCTCCCAATCAGAATGCCTACGTCAGTGACGGGGCTGTCAATACTCGCAATACTCGTACCACAACGAAGAAGTTTCAGCTCAAACTTACCAATACCAAATCCAATATAGGGCAGACCGGCGAAAAGAGAAAGCCACCAGCTTTCGAGGTAGTACGCTTTCGTCTTGGCATTATACCAGCCGAATTGCCGCTCGAAAGCGTCCATCGCCTGGGTTGAGTTGAAGCCTTGTTGGTCAAAGCCAAAATTGAATTGAGAGACAGCAATAAGCAGAATCGTTGAAGTCAACGATCTGTTGAAAGACTGCCGCAACTTGAGGTGGCCAAACATGGTACCTGACGGTAATTTGATGCTAGAAGATTGGCTGCTAGTCTAGGTAGGCTTATGAAGGTACAACACATCTCATACTGACATCTACTTTGAGAGATACAGCCATGGCGACTTTATACAATTTATCTAACTCATCTGACAGATGAAATGGCAGGCTCCTAATTGCGCCATCAAGACTAGAGTTGACGATATGCCGGGCGTTGATGCTCCCAGACTTAACTCTCGGAGAAGTTGAGCCAGGTCCTTGGTGTAGAACTCTACGCGAGGGTGGCAGCCCCTGTCAACCAGGTGGGCCGGAGCATTCACTAGTGTGGGGAGGATGCAACGCCCATTCCGAATTCTGGATAGCTTGGTTATAGTTGGGTCATTCCCCAGAATCATCTCCCCGTCTATCCCCGTCAAAGACTGTCTTCATGAGGCCATGGACCTAAACCGCTGGAATGTTTTTCATATGAATGAATGATGTAGGTAAACTTATATTAAAGACTCGGGAGGCGGTCAGAAGTATATGAATACCTTAGTTTGTGATTTTGTTCTCCTCCTACACTAGATGCTTTTCTTTCATTCCATCAAAGAATGGCAATGCCGAAAACAGTTTGCAAAGGGATCTACACGCTACCAAAGTTATTATCAGGCTGATCATAACAGTCTCTTCTGATCAGACGTGCATATAAGATCGACGAGTTGGGCTGTGTTCGCTCAGTGCCCGGATCTCGGCGGATCTCGACAGCGGGGTCTGCATCAATCTGGTGTTGCTACCGCCGACGGGTAAGAACGGGGAGATAACCTCATCACTCGCACTCTTTTGACAGTAGTCGAAATTGCCCCATTTGATCACAGTTTCAGCCCCTCTCGAAATAAGGAAAATCATCTCCGATGAGTGACTTAACTGAATTGCGTCAGTCCCGATAGTGTTCACGCCATCGAAGGAGGATTGTTGTTGTTGTTGTTGTTGTATTTAACGCCGTGGCGGCCGGGCTAGAGCCCTTACCGCAGACCTCCCGAAGGGTATATGGCGTGGAGGGCCGTGAGCCAAGGCTACCTACTCTACAGTACGTCGTCTCTTTACATCGTCCTCCAAATCATGCCTTGTGGCCACTACGCGTTCTGTCTGTCCCCGGTTCCCGCTGGTGCCCCAGTTTCATTCTTTCCCAAATCGTCCCTTGGAATCGGGAGGTTCTTTGTAGTCCGCACTCACATCTACGTAGGTGTGGATGCTGCTACCGCAGACAGATCTTCTGGAAGAAGTCCGTCACGCGGAGAAAGGCCTCGAAGCCTCGTGGGTCGGTGATTAATCTCTTGAAGTAGGCCTCGAGAGATCCCATAGGGCCTATGGGCTCGGGCATACTGCGAGAGTGGAGGGTCGGCCACCGTTGCCTCCTCGCCAGCGTTAGTCGACAGTAGACCAGGTGGTCCACGTCTTTCGCCTCTCCACAAGAGCACATCATTAGAGCGTCGTCGTGGTTGAAACGTCGGTGATATTGCTCGAAGTCCCCGTGACCCGATCGTGCCGCCAGCAGGTGATGTAACGTAGCCCGCGGCAAGGCCAGTTCAGGAGGGCTGGACAGAGCTGCCTCAAGCCCCAAGTCCGCGTACCGCGGCCTTCGCTCTTTATACCACCATCTCCTGTGCTGGCTTTGTAATTTTTCCCTTGCAAGCCGCTTGATGCCCGCTAGTGTTGCCATTTGACCCATCCGCGCCGGCAGTGTCGTTCCTTCTTTGGCCAGCCGGTCCGCGGCCTCGTTTCCTTCGATGCCCTGGTGTCCCGGGGACCAGTGCGTCCGTATATCAAATATCCTGGCCGCTTCTTGGATTTCGAGGAACGCGTCTTGTGACGAGTCCGGCGCCTTGCCGCGGATGCCTTGTATAACGCTGGTGTTGTCGATACATATGTGGATTGGATGACCGCGATTGGTGAGCAGAGCCCTTCTGAGGCCGGTTCGCGCCCCTTCGACCTCGGCGTCGAACACTTCTGCTAGTCCGAGTCGGCCGCACCCTTGTGCTATGCGTTTGGAGTCTCGGTAGATGACGAAGCCGTACCCCACGGCTCCGTTCGTCGCCCTGGAGCCGTCCGAGAAGACGATCATATGGCTTTCCGGTACTGTCTTTAGCCAGCGCTCGAAAGCTTTCGCAGCCTCTTCTTTGCATTGAACTACTATCTGATCCTGTGAGCTTGGCAGGTACTGTGATTGAAGGAACGCTGGTCTTCCGCATCTTGGCAGAAGTTCAGCCGTCCGTTGTAGTCTCGTCTGTTGCTGTCCCTGCTGGGAGAGCCGCGCGACTAGCGGGTGTCGGCGATCAATCCTCTGTAGTCGGACTGCGGCCCGTAAGCGGACGCCCTCTAAGGCGACTTTGGCTGACGGTAAGCCGGCGTCTCGGAGGAGGCTACTGGTTGGCGTTGTCCTCCAGACAGGCAGAACGGCCCTTGCTGCCGCTGTAATGACGCTGTCGATCTTCTGCACGAGCCCCTTTTGGCCTGTGTTGACGGGTCTTCCTTGGAGAGGCGGATTCGTGTCTGTCTCCGCTTGGCGTCTCGAAGCCGGCTTCGTGATACCTGCGTACCATGTTTCGGCGCCGAAGAGCGCGATCGGCAGTACGCAGGAGACGACGGCTTTTCGCACGGCGGCCGCTGGGAGTCCCCTCTTTGTGTTCGTAAGCTGTCTCAGATGTTGAGCTGCCCTCTTTGCTGCAGCTACTTTTGCGTCGACATGGTGCCGGAAGGACAGTCTCTTGTCGAACCAGACACCCAGCCAGCGTACAGGTTTCGTCGAGGCCTTGACCACCAAATCCCCCGCCCGGACCTCTGGCAGCTCCGCTGGCTGGCCGTGCTTCCTAGTAAAGTGGATGACCTCGCACTTGCTCGGGTCAAAGGAGACCTTGTTCTCCAAGCCCCATCTGAGAATGCCGGCTGCGCTTCGGTTGAGTATTGCGACGTTGCTCTCCAGGGAGGGGCTGATGGCCAGAGTGGCGATGTCGTCCGCGTACCCGAATCGCGCGTTCGGGTCGTCTTCAAGTATCTCTGCGATGTAGAGCAGAAAGGCAATGGGAGATAGTGGTGACCCTGAGGCAGCCCGCATGACAGCGGGAAGTACTCCGTTGTGCTTTCTTCCAGTCGGACTCTAGCGGTGCGGTTGCAGCAGAAGCTAAAGATCAGTCTGGTCAGGCCATGTGGCCATCCCTGCTGACGCAGTCTAATGACGAGCCGGTTCCGAAGGACGGAGTCGAACGCCCCTTTTACGTCCAT